TGGCCCCCTTCATGACTCGTGGACTTCAACTCCCAGAATTCCTGAGCCAGCATGGGGGAACTATGGCCCCTTCATGTCTCGTGGACTTCAACTCCCAGAATTCCTGAGTCAATATAGCTCAGCATGGAAACCTCTCCATTTCTCCTCAGCATGGCTGGCTCAGGAATTCTGGGAGTTGAAGTCCACCAGTCATAAAAGAGCCAAGGTTGACTACCCCTGGCCTAGACAGTCATTTGTCTGAGACGGTATGGGTTCTCCTGCTCGAGCAGGGGGCTGGACTAGAAGACCTCCAGGGTCCCTTCCAGCTCTATTCTATTCTACTTAACGAGTGGTTGTGAGTCAAGGCCTACCTGTAGGCCTTTTGGCTTTGGGACTCCTGTTTGCGTGGCCTCTGAGGCTGTTCACCGAGTAGTTGACTTGCTCTTAAGACTTTGCATTGTGTTACTATTTGCACAGCTCTGATCCCGGAACTTCAAATAACATTATATATACCTTGGAGACTTTGACCTTCACACTCTCTCAATAACAACAGGGTGTGCTCTTGTAATCAGTAACTCTTGTGTGCGTGTGTTTATGTGTGTGTGTGTGTGTTTGAGAGAGAAAGAGAGGTGTTTTATTTGCACACAACCCGAACGATTGCAAACGTGGCCTTGTGTTCAGTGCAGATAGTCCTCGACTTAATGACCGCTCAAAATTACAGCGCCCCAAAGCTACTCGTGAGCCAGTGTTGAAGTTACAATGGCCACAAACACACACAAGAGGCCTCTGCTGAAATGGATTGGAAAATTCATATTCCAAAGAAAGGAGTTAGGCTGGCAGTTGTCCAAATTTAGGAAGGGGGGGGTGTCCTCATAAGTCAGGAGTGGGCAATTGTGGCACCTTTATGACCTGTGGACTTCAACTCCCAGAATTCTTCAGCCAGCTATGCAGCTGAGCCTTGGACTTCAATTCCCAGAATTCCTGAGCCAGCCATGCGACTGAGCCTGTGGACTTCAATTCCCAGAATTCCTCAGCCAGCCGTGCAGCTGAGCCTGGGGACTTCAACTCCTAGAATTCCTCAGCCAGCCGTGTGGCTGAGCCTGTGGACTTCAGCTCCCAGAATTCCTCAGCCAGCCGTGCGGCCGAGTCTGTGGACTTCAATTCCCAGAATTCCTTAGCCAGCCGTGCAGCCAGCCTGTGGACTTCAGCTCCCAGAATTCCTCAGCCAGCCCTGTGGCCGAGTCTGTGGACTTCAATTCCCAGAATTCCTCAGCCAGCCGTTTGGCCGAGCCTGTGGACTTCAACTCCCAGAATTCCTGACCCAGCCATACTGGCTCAGGAATTCTGGGAGTTGAAGTCCACAGGTCATAAAGGAGCCCTAGTTGCCCACCCCTGCCGTATGTTACCAGTACTTAAAGTCTGATTTCTTTTTCACCCGTTTTCCATTTTTGTCCACACCTTGCAGGTCGTACAAAAGTGGGTGCGGTGTCAACAACAGACGGACAGAGCTTTTCTTGAAGGAGAACGAACATCTCCGAAAGTAAGTCGCCGTCCTACGCTTGGCCTTTTCCTCTTGCGAGCTGTCGGTATCCCTGCTTACTAATTTCGTCGCTTCCTAATGCGTATTTATTGATTTATCTCTATCCCCCTGCCTTTATTATTTCTGCCAATCACTCGACATACTGACTTTCCTCTCGTCCCAAAGGTGCTTTTCCAAAAGGCAACTAGACGGTCTTCGTTTTTCCTTTGAAGACATTTCGCTTTTCATCCGAGAAGCTTCTTCAGTTCAGGCGGAAGAATGTCTATTTCTTGCAGTCATTTGGTCGTTAGTACTCTCTCTGAGACTCACAGGCCACTGGAAGGTTTAGTTCAGGGGTAGGCAACCTTGGCTGTTTTATGACTGGTGGACTTCAACTCCCAGAATTCCTGAGCCAGCCGTGCTGAGGGGAAAGGGAGAGGTTTCCATGCTGAGCCATGCTGGCTGAGGAATTCTGGGAGTTGAAGTCCACGAGTCATGAAGGGGCCATAGTTCCCCCGTGCTGGCTCAGGAATTCTGGGAGTTGAAGTCCACCAGTCATGAAGGGGGCCATAGTTCCCCCATGCTGGCTCAGGAATTCTGGGAGTTGAAGTCCACCAGTCATGAAGGGGCCATAGTTCCCCCATGCTGGCTCAGGAATTCTGGTAGTTGAAGTCCACAAGTCATGAAGGGACCATAATTCCCCCATTCTGGCTCAGGAATTCTGGGAGTTGAAGTCCACCAGTCATAAAGGGGGCCATAGTTCCCCCATCCTGGCTCAGG